AGTGTCCCTCTTGCCTCTCTGGACAGTCTGCTCCTGCTTTGGGGGTGCTCTGGTGGAGCTTGGGGGCGGGGAGCCGATGCCCTTTCTCCTCACGCACAATGTCACAGCAGATGCTTGTGTGAAATACTATGGGGAGACCAGCCTGGTTCTGGGTATACTCCGTCCATCTGTGCATCTGTCCACCACTCTGAGGTTGGGGGAGAGGGGGCTATGATGGGAACCCCCTCCCCTGGGTGACTGAACTAGGGTTTCCTCAGCTCACTATTCTCCCTGCCCCGGTCAAAGCTCTCCACCCAGAACTTCAGGACTACATTCCCTCCTTCCAAACCAGGCTGTGGGCTGGGGGCCGGGACCCCAGGGAGTGGGGTCCCTGTCTGGGGAGACCTGGGCCAGGGGTAGCTCTGGGAAGGCAGGGGTTAAAGGGCCCGCCGGCTGCCCCCCCTTCCCCCAGCTCAGCAGCTGGTTGGAGGGGGAGTTGCTAAGGAGACTCCCATCACCATGGTGACGGGATTCTCCTGACACCCCATTGGCTCCCTGTTAGGTAGGAGCCCCTCCCTTCCACAGGTGCCCCTCTGGCTCCTCCTTGGGGGGAGAAGGAGGGAATATGGTGAGAGGAGCCCCGCTTCCTCAGACAGGGAGGGGTATGCCGAGTCCTGACTCCCCAAGCCTGGGGACCCCCATCCAGAGCTGGGAGAAGAGGAGGGACTGACCCCTCCCCTCTAGCAGCCTGCTGAGGACTCTGTTGGCTGAGCAGAGAAGTGAGAGGGACTCACGGGTTCTTCAGAAGCTTCTTGAGAGGGCCTGGCCTCACCCCCCCACACACCTGCCATGACCCCATCATTCCTTCCTTCTTGCCTCCTTCACCTTAGTTCAAGAGGATGCTAAACCGTGAACTCACACACCTGTCAGAAATGAGCAGGTCAGGAAACCAGGTTTCTGAGTACATCTCCACCACATTCCTAGGTGAGTGAAGAGTGGCACTTGTGTGTGGGTGGGTGTGTGGGGGGAGGCATTGCATAACTGGACTGCAGGGGGCCACCGCAGACCCTGGGTCCTGTTGCCCACATTTGCCCAGGGAACTCTGACTCAACTCCCCAAAGGTCAAAGTCAGCACGCTCAAGAGCTACTATATATCGCAATGCCCCCAAATTTAGTGGGACCCCAACTTCTATAGAACACCCACATTTAAAAATCTCTCCAAGCTGCAAAGCTCCTCCGAACTCAGGGGAACCCCATTGGAACTCTTAAACTCAAGACCCCAAGAAACTCCCAAACTCAAATAGAATTCCTAAACTTTAAAATGCCTCCAGGCTGAAAAGTCTCCCAAAATTCACTAGAATCTCCAAACTTGGATTTTGGCCCCCCCAAATTCAGAAGACCCCTCAAACTCAAGAGAGATGCCCGAACTCAGTAGGGTTCTCAAACTTAAGGGAAGCCCTGCCCTTAAGAGCCCATAAAAGACCCCTAAACCTTTCCACCAAGCTGAAAAGTCTCCCAAATTCAGTAGAATCCCCAAACTTGGTATGACCCCCCAAATTCAGTAGACCCCCCCAAACTTTAGATACCCAAATTTAATAGGATTCTCCCTCTTAAGAACCTGTAAGTGATTCCCCAAACTTAGGCGAATTTCCTAACTCAGTGGAACCCTGAAGACAGTAGAATACCCCAAATTCACTGGAACCCTCAAGCTCATGGGGATCTCCAACTCATCCTAATCTCATCCTGAACCCAAGAGACCTAGCTGATGATATCCCCCCCAAACTCAGGATAATTTCACCCTCAGAATTTATCACCAAAGTTCCCCGAATTCAGGGTACCCCCCCACCAAGCTGGAAAGAAGGTTTCAGAGTTTCAAACACTCCCGCCAAAGGGGGTGTGGTGTGCCTGAGATCCAGCCAATAAGAGCACAGCATGCAAATGAGCCTCCTTAGGTCCTGTCATTGACTGGCGGTCCCCAGGTCACAATGGGTGGCCCTGGCTGGGCTCTGGAAACCCTAAAGAGCTCAGGAAAGGGGCTTCTGGGGCTGGCCCCCAGAAAGCCTGGTGTCCAGGGGGTGGGGGGGCGGTCCGTGGAGCCAGAGACCACCCTTCCCTCCCGCCTCCCAGTGCTGTCCACCTCCATCCGCCCTCTGGGTCACCATGGGGGTGTCTTCCCTGCCTGCTGGAGAGGGTTCCCTGCCTATCCGAGGCAGGCGGTGATTGGACTGGGGCTACCCCATAGCTCCGGGCTGGCCCCAGGGTCCCCACTCCAGCCCACCACCTCCCAGAAGAGTTCCTACCTCCTCTCTGGTTTCCAGTCCATAAGTAACCAACAGCATGACACCCAGAATAGGTCTGCCCTCCTGAGTGAGACTTCCCAGGGCTTGAGGGGTTGGTGGGGGGGGGGGGGGGGG